CAAAGCCACACATCCCTGGGGTCAGGCCAGGCTCTGTCCCCAAAGCTGGGGAGAGGGGACACCATGTGTGAGTGTGGGTGGGTGACCCAGCCCCTTGTCCACCCACCTGTGTAGTCCTATCTGACACTGCAGGGATGGAGGGAGCCTTGGGATGTCCCCAGCACTCAGGAACTGTCTTTCCAGAATTTACCACCCCAAGGGCTGGCCAGGCCAAGCTGGGAGAGCCCTGCAGCACCCAAGGTGCTGTTGCTCAGCCTGGCAGAGGAGCCTGCTGCACCCCCTGGAGCTGTTTACCTGCAGGGCCCTGCTCCAGCACCTGGAGGTGAGGGCTCCTGGCAGGTCAGCCGGTGCTTTTTGCACAACAAAGCCACGGGCAGCTCCTTTATCTTGTTCTCCCTCCCCTATTATCAATAGTTTTTCTGGTCCAACTGGATTTACCTGCTACCACATCCCCAAGAACAGGAGAAGGTCCACACGGAGGAGGAGAGGAAACCTCCCACCCTCTGCCCCTAGGCCTGCCCCAAACTGAGGAGCATTAACAGCACCTGCACAGAGTTTTTTGTGCAGGTGGAGCAGGCACAGAGCTCTGCCACACTCCCACAGCATCCAGCAGCCACAGAGGCTGCAGAGTGACACATCCAGAGGGAGCAATGCTGGAGTGCTGGGTGCTGTTATCCAGCTCTGTGGCTCTGCTCCCTCCCTGAGACAGGAGTGACAATGTGGATGTGCCACCATGGCACGAGGCTGCCTTGGAGCTGTGTGTGCACTCACAGTGGCTCCCTCCAGCACCTGGTTTGGTTTGGGGCTGGCTGCCACCTTCAGAAGGTACCTCGAACCCCAGAGCCCACATTGTCCCTGCTCCTGGCAAGGCCAAACCCAGAGAGGACCCAGTGAGCAGGGCTGCACTGACAGGAGCAGGGACCTGCTGGGCTCTGCATCTCTCACTTGTCCCCAAAATGCATTCCTGTCCCCCAGCAAGCCCATGTCTGCTTCCTCCTGCTTCATCCACAGTCAAGGAGCTGTGAACACTCAGCAGGACAGGGTGAGCTCTGCTCCTGCTTTACACTGAAAGAGGGAAGAGGTGGAAATGAAGCAGTAAATTTGAAGCCCTGCCAGGAAGGCGACACCATGAAAGCTTCTGGGTGACAACTGGTTTTGGTTTCTACAATCTGGTGGGGAATATTTAAATGCTGTTAACTCTTGAGGAACCCCAGGAGGAGTCTGGCACGGCTGTAATAAAGTTCATGGTACTCACCAAGAGCTTATGAAAAAAGCAGGGCTGACAAAACAGCAACTTCTGGACATGCTGAGGCACATGGTTTATTTATCCCCCAAATGAAATGTCTCTGTTTAAATCCTGCAGCCCCCAGAGCTCCTGGCTGGCAGTTGGGAATCCACTGGTTGCTGGCACTGGGTATTGTGTCCAAATAATGACATTGTAAATGCTAATAATTACAAAAGACATCTTTGTCCTCTAATCAAAAGTTTAAAAATTTCAGCTCTATTAAAAATTAAAATGTTTAAACCTTGGTTCAAGAAACTATTCTGTTGTGCATGTAGGTTGAAAATCAACCATCAATTCCAAGACTGAATTTACAGCTCACTTCTGTTGTGCTCATTGAATAACACTTCGTTGATGTTCTACGTGGGTCATTTTCAACTATGGCTGATGAAATATTCTAAATATCCATCTTAAACAAAGACTGCATTAACTCAGATATGCTTCATCAGAAGATATACTAGAAATCAAAAGTGATGCAGCAATCTGCACTATAATACAGAGCTAAGAAACCCCAAGTTCCAGTCCATATTTCAATGTGTAACTCCTGTGTTTTACAGGAGTGGCTGTCCCTGAGCATCCCTGGGGATGTCAGAGCTGATCCCACACCAGCTCCCTGCCGTGCTGCAGGAGCAGAGGAGGTACCAAAGCTGTGCTCTGTGTGTCCCCTGAGAGCCCAGGGAGCTGCAGGGCTGTGCCCAGCCCAGACACGGTGGCACTCCAGGATGTGCCAGCCCTGGCACAAGGACAGATCCCTGAACAGCAGCTGCCACCTGCTGGCACAGGGACAACCTTGGTGTCGTGCCAACAACGGAGACCTGGGTTTTGGGGTGTCCCTGCACCGTGGCACTGGCTGGGGCTGCTTTCACCCTGGGACACTCACCCTGCTGGGAGCTTGCTCAGCTCTCAATCCTAGCTCTTGCCAAGGGTGCTCCAGCTGTAGCTGCTCTCCACAGGCTTTGTTCCATGTGTTTGTGCCAGGGAAATGCCACCTCCAACCCTGCTCAGCTTCCTGTGGCCACGCTGGAGCACAAGATCAGGTGGCTCTGGTGTGGCACAGCTGGACTTGTGCCCCAGGGGATGTGTCCCAGTGTGTGCCACACACAGTGGGACAGTGTTCACAGGGGTCTCAGGTTAAGGGAAGAGATTTGACTCCATGTTTCAGAAGGCTTGGTTTATTGTTTTATTATATATATTACATTAAAACTATACTAAAATAATAGAAGAAAAGGTTTTCTCAGAAGGCTAGATAAGAGTAGAATAAAAAAGAATGATAAAGGTTTGTGGCCTGGACTCTGTCTGAGCCAGTTGGCTGTGATTGGCCATTAATTAGAAACAATCCCATGAGACCAATCACAGATGCACCTGTTGCATTCCACAGCAGCAGATAATCATTGTTTATATTTTGTTCCTGAGGCCTCTCAGGAGAAAAAATCCTAAGGAAAGGATTTTTCATAAAAGATGTCTGTGACAGGACAGGATGCCTTTGTGCAGGGGGACAGGAGCAGAGTGAGGAGGTGGGGGGGACCATCACGTCAGAGTCACTTTTCTGGGAACAGGAAGGATGTGGCCTTGAGCTCCTTGGGAAACTTCAGGCCACACCAAGATTGTCCCTGATAACATCAAACTCAGCTGTGCTGAGAGAAAAGCCTGGAGGGAACAGGGAAAGCCTCCTGGGAAGTTTGCTTCCTTTGCCTCTGGGAAGCCTCAACACCAGGGAAAAGCGTGGGCTGGGGGCTGTGAGCCCACCCCAAAGCCCCCTCAGCCACTGGGGAGCCCTTGCTCAGTGGGACTCAGCCCCTTCCTGCTTCGCAAAGGACAGAGGAACAAAAGAGGAGGAGGGGGAAGGGAAAGGTCTGAGAGAAACTTCTTCCAAGTTGTCAGGAAGAGAAAAGCCCTATTCAGGCAGGAAGAATGCCCTGTGGAGCTGGTCACTAAGCAACCCTCAGCAATGTGGTGTGGCCTGAGGGACAGGCAAGGAACAGAACTGCCTCACTGCCCACCCACAGCCCATCGGGGACAGCCTGCAGGGCCTGGGGACAGGGGACACCACCAGGGCCACACTGCAGAGCCACCATGAGGGGCTGAGGCACCCAGTTCCTCAGGCCCAGAGCTCCTGGGTGCAGCTCTGGATGGGGCCCAGCCTCACTCAGGCTTCCCTGTTTGCTGCTCAGGAAGGATTTCTGGCCTGCTGCAAAGCCCGTGGCTCCCTCTGGGCCTGTCATTCCCACAGGGCCGCACCATTCCCAAGAGAGGCATCTGGGGACAGCAGGCACTGGGGACAGCTCCTGCTCCCACAGACATTGGGGACAGCTCCCTGCTGCCACAGGCATTGGGGGACAGCTCCTGCTCCCACAGGCATTAGGGACAGCTCCCTGCTCCCACAGATATTGGGGACAGCTCCTGCTGCCACAGACACCGTGGGCTCCTATGGCCACAGCAGTCAGGTACAGGTACACCCTCTCCAGGGAAGCTGAATCCTGCATTTGGATCCTCAGTGTGGGTGGTTGTCCTTCACAAACAAGCTCAGTGAGACATGAGAAACTGCCCAGCCTCTCTGCAGCACAAGGAAAAAAGGGGAAAGGAAATCAAGCCTGACCAACTCTGCTGATAATTCCAGCTGAAATTCCTTCCTTGGAGCCCAGGGAGTCCCTGGAGACACTGCTGCCCCCAACAAAAATGCTGCAGGAATGGAAAAACACTCCCAACCACAGCAGGTCTGGTGAGTGTGCAGCTGGTTAACCCAGGGACATGCTCTGGACCTGTGGGACACTGGATGTGGCTTTTTTGCCTGTACAGTGTCATGGGGGAAATGTGCAGCCCTTCCTGCATTTTTCTTGAATATCTGATACACCTGGAGAGCAGCTGCTGGGACAAGGGCAGACTCGCCAGGTGTTCACCCACTTCTTCAGGGAGGTGTTGGGCTGGTGCTGATCCCTGTCCTGCAAGGTGAACAGGTGGGGGGTTGTGAAAAATGCGTATTTTATGATTGGCTTTTTGCAAATATTAAAATGAATATTATTTGTGTTGTGTTAGAAAGTAATGCTGTATTAATTCTCTTAAGTACTATGTTAAATATAGTTTTAGGTTATAAAAAATGTTAAAATAGAAACTATACTATGTAGGATACTTTTTTTAAAGAAAGGACTCACACTGAGATAGCAGCCACAGGACACCTGAATCTTTCAGAGAAAAAGAATTTATTGCCCTCTTATCAGAAGAAATGAACTTCTTCCCGCCTCAAAGGTGCTGTTAGGATTCAGAGGAAGAAGGTGACAATCAGACAGAATCCTGTGTTTGAATGGAATTTATGTATCATGTATGAAGTGTATGAATATGCAGCAGGCTGTTGCTTTTAAGGGTTAATCCTTTGTGAACGTGGGTCCTTTATCGGGCTCATGCTGCCCAGAAAAAGGTACCCAGACATCTTTGTCTTTATTGTCTCATATTGTCCTAATTCAATTTGTCCAAATTATTATTACTCTAATTGTATTACTATTTTTATAACCATTTTGTTACTATTAAACTTTTAAAATTTTAAAAACACGTGATTGGTGTTTTTCACAGAGATGTTCGGGTGTGTCCACATAAGCTGCAGAGCTTCTCCAGGTAATCTCATTATCCCTCAGTCCTGGACTTCCCTGGCTTTGCAACCTGCTGTATCTCAGCCTTTAAAGCACCAATTCTGGGTGCACTAAATAACCACAAGCCACAGGGCTGCTGAAAGATCAGCTTGGCCAAAGCAGTGCCATTTATTTTGCTTACAAAACCCCTTCCAGGAGGCCAACACACCCCAGGTGTGCTGGCTGCAGCTGGGCCCCTCTCAGCACCGTGGGGGACAGGCCCTTCAGCCAGCAGCAATGACACATGGCATCCATCCCTGGGCTTGGAGAGCTTCCACCTCCAACAGGACAAACACAGCTGGGAGCCAAGCATGACCGAGTCCAGCTGTGCAAGGACTTGGCACATCAGGTCCATGCCGCAAAATTCACATTTTGTGCAGCCAGGGGAGCCCTGGGCAAGAGACAGCAGGTACAGGAGGTGTGCTGCACCATGGAGAGCAGCTGCCTGCCCTGGAGTTGATGGCAGTGCTCCTCTGGAAGTGTCAGAGCAAGGCCATTCTAGGTAGCAGAAGTGAAACTCATTGTCTCTCAAATTGGTCACCTGGAAGCGTCCAGTCCATCCTTTTTATCTCCAGGGAGCAGAGTGAGTGCAGCCCCCTCCCCCCAAGAAATAAAGTCAACCTGAAGCAGAATCTGTGTTTCCACCTCCATCCATTCCAGCTCCTCAGGGAGTTTGTTTAGACAACACCCAGCTCCAAAATGGGCATTGCAAATGGAGAGGATCCACCCAGAAGAGAAGTGGCCCCAGCCTGAGGAGCATCTTCTTGGAAAGAGAGAAATTACACACAGGACCATATCCATCCTGGATTCTGCTATCATAATACCCATGCCTACAACAACCAGCAAGAGCCCTGCAGCACAGCCAGGTGGGATTTATTTGCAGGCTGCATTTCCTGTTGGTCTTTGGGTCTGCAGCATTCACACATTTGTTGAAGTGTTGTGAAATTACAGAGCTGCTGAAGGAGGGAAATGTCTTTGTGGGGATGAAATGTGCCTAGCCGTGCAGAGCTGACCTTGGCTCTGGTGATCCTCTTCTGTTCTCTGTGAGGTGTTGTTGAGATTTCCCAGGCTGCAGTCAGGTTCTCAGGTAAAGTTTCATTATATTCTCATCATGAAGCCTTTTCCACAGCTGCTTCTCCAGGTTGAAGTCATGGTTAATGTAGAAAATCAACTTTTTCCAGTTCTTGTCATAGTAGTGATCTGAGTACTTCTCATACCCCTCTGTGATGTAGCCATAGGCACTGACCTGGGGAAGATGCAGGGCTCACTGGGCATGGGATGGAGGGAGCAGGGGAAATACAGGACAGAGATGCCAGCTGGGACTTCTCTGGGGGTCCAGAAGGACCAGAGTGTGAGCACTGGCTCCAGAGATTCTGCTGTACCCTCACTGCCTCCCCAGGAGATGATGTGCTCCAGGTCACAGCAGGCATCACCACCTCTATGGGAGCTATTTTGGGGCTTCTCATCTTCAGCTCCTCCACAGCTGACATGAGCCCATACACTCTCCAGGCACACAGCAGCCAGCCCTGCTCTCCTCTGTCCCCTGTTCCCACTTCCAGACAGCTCTGGGTGCAAGAATCACTGTGCCCTTACCTGGTCACAGAGGTGGAGTGCAGTCAGCAGCAGGAAGGCCCCTGTTGTGGGTCTGTACAGTCTCCAGTAGTGCTTTTGCAAATTTTTAGACTTTAAAAACCTGCAGCAGGAGAGAGGAAAGCACTGAGGGGTTGCTGGCTGTGGTGTTTCAAGCAGGGCACACCTTGTGGCTCATGTGGCATCTCCCCTCCTTGCAGGAGCTTGGGGCCACATGAGGCGTTTCAGAGAAGCCACAAATGTGCTCAGAACTCTCCACCACCTTCATGGCAACCTCAGCCCAGCTCTGCCCCAGCTTTGTGGAAGTGGTGGGTCTTAAAGCAGTGGGGGTAAAGGATCTCATAGGTTAAAGCCCCCTTCTCTTAAATCTGCCCTTTGCTTTGCAGTGCAGAGGTGGCTTTGGGGCTCCCTGGTATATCCTGCTCCCCACCCACATCTAGGAGTGAAAGGAGACACAGGCAAGGTGCAGAGGAGTCACAAAACCTGCCAGGAGCTGCACTGTGTCATGCCAGAAGTTGTTAGGAAAGCAGGAGTAAACAATGGGAAAAAATAGCATGGAGTGTTCTTGGTGCTGGAAATGCCCCAAGTCAGAGGGGGCCCCAAGGCAGAGCAGGCAGGGAAGGCTGGCCATCTGCTCCAGGGAAGGCAGCAGCTCTCAAGGACACTGAAGGGTACAGGCAGCCAAAGCAGGGCCCTACAGGAGCCTCTGTGCCTCCTTCTCTCAGTCATGTGTGGCCCAGGATGGGCAGATCTCATGGTGGCAGTGGCCAGCACAGATCTCATGGTGGCAGTGGCCAGCACGCTGTGGAAAGGGCTGGAGAAGAGCAGCGGCCAGGCCAGGCAAAGGAGATGCTGAAGAAGAGCCTGTCATGCTTGAGGGCACAACCAACCTTCTGAGTCCAGAAGGAATCTCTGGAGAGAAAATCTGTCACAGAGCCTTCCTCCAAGGTGCCAAGCAATGGGGAACATGAAAGGCTGGTCCTGAGCTAGAGATCAACTGTTCTGGCACTTCAGCAACATTCTTCTTACACCTAAACTTGCAATTGGCCCTGGGTCTCTTCTGGATGCAGAAAACCAAACAGTTTGATGGCTGTTACTTCTCCAGCTCACAGGTTCTGGATGTTCACCCACTACAGCACCACAGAGAGTTTCAGCTTGAGATGAAAGGAGGAGTAAAGAAAGTTCTGGGGAAGGGGTATGGATAGGAGAGGTGTAAAACTTGGCAGGGAACAGCTAGGTAACAAATGAAAAACCAACACTTAACTAAATAACAATAAAGGAGCAAGTCTAGTTTTAAAAACATAAAATACAAAATGGACAACGTGTGCTACTCTAAAGGCAGGGGAAAGGACAGCATAAGGAAATGACAAAATTACAAATTAAACAGCAAGCATATTAATACAACTAAAAAGCACACTACAACATCAGCAGAGCTCAGGCTGCTGGTGTGGCTGAGCTGGGGTTACAGGGAGGGAGCTGGGAGGAGAGGCCAGAGACAGAGAGAGATGGTGCTGGCCAGGAAAAAGGAGCCTGTTACAGCACACAACCTGCAGCTCACCTGTTTTTCATGTATCTGAGGAAATCAGGGTGAGTCACCAGGTATTTGTCCATTGTGAAATCTTCATCAAATTTCTGCCGGGGCTTCTGCCTAAGGACAGGAATGAGGAGACTCAAGACAAGCAAGCTCCTACACCTCATCACAGCTGGAAAGGGTCAGCCCTGATGCACTTGTTGGTAAAAGAACCACAAACACTGTGAAGATATTCTGTAGCATTTCCCACATTATGACAAAGCCTCCATAGCCTGTGTACATTGCAAAGGAAGAGATCAGGAAGGAGAGGCAACAAAAGGAGATAGGAATATCAAAAGCATGTGTTTGTATAGGCAAAAATTAGTGAAACCAGGCCTTCATCCATGAGCAGGCCACACCAGACCAGCCAGCAGCAAGTGTTCATCCCCAAAAGTCACAAAGCTTTCCTTAAGCTCTGGCCACACATCATTGAAATTAGCTGATGTTGGGGAAGATGAAACAGGAAAGCCTTATAAATATGATTGCCTGGCAAAAGATTTTGAGAATATGGAAACTATAAGCGAGACTGAAATGAAAGCAAGCTTTGAGATACCTCAGTTACTGAACAATTGGAAAACAATGGTATGGCCAGCTGAAGGTGATCCCTGTTTGATGGAACAACACCCTCTGCTTGCAGGCAGCTCCAAGGGTCAGAGCAGACCCCACTAGCTTGGTAGAAGGGGTCCAAAGAGGAGTTTTTAGGGTTTAAAATGTAACCCAGTATGGTAATGTAGTGATTCTTATAGGCTGTATGTAAATGCTATAGGATTTGTATGTTGTGCTAGATTGGTTAGTAAGAATCAGAACATTCAACACAGAAGAAGATTTATTGTATTGTAACGGGAACCTCGCTCTATTACTCTCTTACCCTCTCATCCTCTCTCCCGTCTCCTCTCTGGGGCCTGCTCTGAGCTGTGGCTGGCAGCTCCCAGCAGGGCCCTGCACCCAGGCCCTTTGCAATAAACCCCAAATTCCACAACCAGAAGATTTATTGTATTGTAACAGGAACCTTGCCCTCTGAGCCTGCCTTTTACTCTCTCATTCTCTCTTTACCATGTTCTTGCCTTCTCTCTCTTCCTCTTTGGGGCCTGCTCTGAGCTGTGGCTGGCAGCTGCCAGCAGGGCCCTGCACCCAGGCCCTTTGCAATAAACCCCAAGTTCCACAACCTAGCTTCAAAAATCTCTCGTCTCCATCCTTCCCACCCCCAATGCTCCTACAAGGTACCTCTGAAGGAGGTGCATTGGCTACAGCAGTGCTCAGAGCTGTGCAGGAAATGAGAGATTTCTTTCTGCAAGTCTACCAGGGGAGGGAGGCTTTACCCTGGCCTAGTCCTCACAGGGCTGAGCCCTGGGAGAGGCAAAGAGCCCCACAGAGAGCTCATCACTGAGGGGCAGAGGGGGCTGGAGTTGGCTTTACCCGCTGAGGTTCAGGAATCCTTTCCTGATGTCCTTGTTGAACAGCAGAGCCTCCAGCCACTCATAGTCTCTTGCTCCCTCCAGGAAGTGAATGTATCTGACATGCTAAGAAGAAAACAAGTGAGCATTAGTGAACAGAACCTCCGAAACAACGCAAGCAAACATCTTGGCTCACTGGGTTTCTTAGGCACACATCTCCAGTCTGCAGCTCTCAACCAGCACACAGTAGCAGAATGGAGAAAACATCTGATGTGCAGCTCCTTCTACATGCCACAAGGCTGTGGATGTGACAGAGACAGCCAGATGAACTTTCCCAGGAATTGTTCTGGGGAGTTTTGTTTTTTAACTTTTTCTCTCAGCCTTCTCAATCTTGCAGCTGGTGTTTTGAATAGTTGTTTTCTCATAAGATATTTACCAAAGGGTGTCCACTTAAATAGCCAATGGTGTGAAGGGGTGTTAATTAAGTAACCAATCAAGTCCACCTGAATTGGAATGGTGTATAAAAAGAATGGGTTTCTAATAAACTCAAATTAGCCTCATGCAGAGAATGAATGTGTTGCCTTCGCTCCTGCTCCTGACTCAAAAGTGGCACAAGGCTGGGGTGGCATTGACACAACTTGTCACTGCAAACACTCACTCTGAGCCAGGGCAGAGCAGGTTCCCTCCCTGAGGATAAAGCTAAAGGGCTGCCTCAGCCCCTCTGCTCCCTGTGGCAGGAGCAGAGCTGAAGCACACAGACAAACAGCATCCTGTTAAAGCTGTGCATGCACACAGCAGTGTGCACTCACTTTGTCCCGTGGGATGTTCCTGAACCCTCTGTGTCCCAAGATCTGAAGAGAGGAAACCAGGGAGTAGGCTGTGAATCCATAAAAGGAAGTTTTTGTTCCCACATCTTTTTCATAGCCCTTGATTAGAGCCCCACTCAGCCTGGCAAAGGAAATGAAACAGAAGAGCAGGGTTAGGTGACCACTGAAACCCCTCCCATGCACATTCCTGACAGGAAAAGACAGTGTTAGCCTGGAGGAAGGGCAGACTAGCCCTATTCTGATTAGCACCCTGATCTGCAGGACAGCCCCTGCTGTGGAGATGGCTCTTTATGGCTCATTTGTGACCACAGGCTTTGGATATTGAGTAACTCTCCAATTATTTTTGGACTTTTTATTTCCTGCCATCCATCATTTTGGCACTTGGGAATGAGCGGAATACTAGAAGAGATGAAGTGATCCAGCCCCAGTCAGGGGCTACCCACAGTGAGCTATCTGTGCATCTTCTGAGAAGGAAGGCAGCCTTACCTGAAGACATAGTCATGGGAGTCAATCTCCTGGCCCATCCCAGAGTTATTCAGAATTCCTCCATTGCCCACGACAGCACAGCTGATGCACGTGGGCATGCTGCTGTCATGGTTGGCCAGGAGCAGCTGCTGGTGGGGCTTTGGGGGCAGCAGGGATATGACCTCCTTTACCACTGTGAAGCAAACACAGCGGTGAGTTATCAAGAGCCTTTGGGATGGACACAGTGAAACCACCACAGTTTCCACCACGAGATCCTCCTAGACTGATGCCTTGGATGGGGAGATGCTGCAAACCTACAGGTTCCTGTTGGGAGTCTGAAAGTCCCATCCTGACAAGCCCTGAGGGACTCACGTGAATAATTGAGGTCCATGAAGCCATAGGGGGGTATAAAATGCTCCAGGCGGTTCCATTCACTGTCATTGAAGTGTCTCCTGTCCATGAAGAGTGTGATGCTGGGCAGGAAAAGATCCCTCAGCCAGGCAGACTTGGCAGCCCTGGCCCTCACTGATTCAGAGCAGGTCTTGAAAAACAAAAAGCAAACAGTAATGACTGATGATGAGCAGAGGTGATAAACCTGAGTGCCAGTGCTTGTGTGCCTGTCTGTGGCAGGACCAAAGGGAAACACAGAAACTCCAGTGCTACCATTTCCCTCGTGATCCCTGTCACAGACATCTTTTATGAAAAATCCTTTCCTTAGGATTTTTCCTCCTGAGAAGCTGGCAGGCCTCAGGAACAAAATGTAAACAATGATTATCTGCTGCTGTGGAATGCAACAGGTGCATCTGTGATTGGCCCATGTTGGTTGTTTGTAATTAATGGCCAATCACAGTCAGCTGGCTCAGACTCTGTCTGAGCCACAAGCCTTTGTTATTATTCCTTCTGTTTCTATTCTTAGCCAGCCTTCTGATGAAATCCTTTCTTCTATTCTTTTAGTATAGTTTTAATGTAATATATATCATAAAATAATAAATCAGCCTTCTGAAACATGGAGTCAGATCATCGTCTCTTCCCTCATCCTCAGACCCCTGTGAACATGAACACTGTCACACCCACTGCAAAGGGCCCACACCCCCAGGACCAGCAGACAAGGAGCTCAGTGGGGAGGCCATTCTTGGTGACCACCTGCACCATCCCACCTACCGAGGCTGGGGATGAGCTATCCAGCAGGTACTCATCCTCAAAATCCCACTGTGGCTCAGATGTGAAGTTAACAGCGCTCAGTTTCCTCTTCTGTGTCACAGCAGCAGCCTGAGGAGTAGGTGGTACAGTTTTCATTGATGCAGGAGGAGCTTTGGGGCTTGCTTGGTCTGGGGATGTGTTGTTCTCATGTGCTCCCTTCACCCCAGAGGATGGTTTCACTGTTGCCTTCTCCTTGCCACCCTTCTCCAAGGGAAGTGATTCCACTGTTGTCTTTTCCTTGGCTTCTGCCACCCATGGAGCTGGCCTCACTGTTTTCCCCTTGTTTTCCTGCACCACAGGGGTTGTTTTCACTGTTGTCTCCTTGATTCCCTCCAACTGGGGTGGTGGTTTCACAGCCATGTTCCCCTTTTCTTCCTTAACACTCATAACTGGTTTCACTGTTTCCTTCTGCTCCTCCTTTCCTTTTCTTGGTGTGCTCTCCACCACATCATTGAGGCTTGTGATGTGTCCTCCCAAAGTCACCTTTAAAATGCTCCTGGAGTTCCCATTATCAGAACAGTTCAAACCCTGTTGCTCTTGGGGGTCCACTTGTTGTGTCTCTGGGGCATGCTGGAAAATGTTCAATTTCCTGAATGCAATCAAAGGAAAAGCAGATACATCACACTTAACACTGAACACCCTTCAGCTCATTTCTAGTGCTCTTGACTCTGAGCCTCTCTCTGTGCTTTACAGCAATTTCATTTTAAGCTTTGCCAAAATGTTATTCAACTTCCTGCACCATTCCAGCCTGAATATTGCTTATCTCCCCACTAGGCAAATCCCAGAGGCACACATTCTCTCCTCAGCTCTTGGCACATGGAACATTCACTCTGGCAGTAGCAGCCAACCAGTACAGGGCACTGGGCACTGGGCACTGGGCAGGTTCCCTGGCACTGTCCCCAGAGCACTGCAGGGTTGGTTTGGAGATCCTGGGCTCAGGACATGGCCCCACCATGGAGGCAGCCATCTGCCTCTCCCCTCTGCCAGCAGAGCATGAAGAGCTTCCAGAATTCAGGAAGGGAAGTCTGAGAAGTGAAATATTGTAAATTCAGGCAACCCTGATGAGGGGAGAGGTGATGCATCTGACTCCACTGATATCAGAAGGATAATTTATTACTTTATTATACTATATTATATTAAAGAATACTAAACTATACTAAAGAATACAGAAAAGATTCTTACTGAATGCTAAAAAGACAATAATGAAAACTTGTGACTCTTTCCAAAGTCCTGACACAGCTTGGCCATGATTGGCCAATGAGTCAAAACAACTCACACCAGAATCCAATGAAACAATCACCTGTGGGTAAGAAATCTCCAAACACATTCCAAGTAAACACTATATACTATACTAAAGAATACAGAAAAGATACTTTTATAAGTATAAAGATTTGCTATATCTTTTTAGTATAAGATATACTAAAAACATATACTAAAAGATAAGATATACTAAAAAGACCTTTAGTATAAGATATACTAAAAAGATAATAATGAAAACTTATGACTCTTTCCAGAGTCCCGACACAGCTTGGCCCTGATTGGCCAAAGAGTGAAAACAAGTCACAGCAGAATCCAATGGAACAATCACCTGTGGGTAAACAATCTCCAAACACATTCCACATGAGCACAACACAGGAGAACCAAACGAGATGAGAATTGTTTTCCTTTTCTCTGAGGCCTCTCTCTGCCTTTCAGCTTCCCAGGAGAGAAACCCTGGGTGCAGGGATAATGTTTATAGAATGTAATTGCCACAATGAAACTCACTTCTTTGCCCTTCTCTTCCCAATCACCTCTTGAGATTTTGGGGCCACAGGACACTTCTTTCTCTCCTATGCCTTGGTCAGGTATTGCAAGGGCATCACACAGCACTCACCAGGCACATGTGTCTGAAGGCAGACACTGTGAAGCTGTTAAAATGCAAAATTTCTACATTTTTAGCACTTGCCTCTAATATTGCAGCTGCTCTGTTGCCTGATTCAGAGGCACAGGCAGGTACAAGGTTGTCACAGGAGGACACATCTGCTGACAGCAGAAGAGCCACCTGCAACAAGACTGTGCTGAAACCCAGGGAAAAAAAATCAGGGCAGAAGTGGTGGAGTTGTGTCCTAAACATTCCCCCTTCTCTGTGCATGGCTGGAGGGTAGAACAGGAAAAAGGAAGGTGAACAATATCCACAGCTGAGCTTTTGTGTGCAGCGAAGCTGTTGAGGATAAACCATGGCTGTGGCACTCTGATCCCACGCTCCTGTTCAGCCTTTGCATTACACACTTGTTTGGGAACGCTGTGGATTGCTTCCGAAGTGAAAAATGGGACAAAAAGCACTTCTGCAGATAACAGGCTGCAGATAGCAGCTCAGTCACTGCTGAAATTCGATGGGTGTTGTACCACTCTGAAAGTGCTCAGGAAATGATCAGCTAAGGAGGCTTTTTAAATCGTTTTTTATCAGATAAATATGTGAACCTTTACAAGGCTAGAAAAGAGAGCTTGTAGCACATGGCCTATCAGCTCTGCCTCTCCCATAATCATTAGCCAGCTTCAAGCCAGTGTGCAGCATGTGCTTTCTGTCACAGGCTTTCATGTATAAACTTACTGTCACTGCTTACTGCCCAATAGGAGGAAAGATTTTATATGGACACTCTAAATAAAGAGAAATTTGGTAATATAGCCCAGGCAGATCTTAAATCCCTTGGTGAATTTATGTTGTATTTTCAAGAGGATGTTTAAAACTTTGAAATAAAGCGCAGAAAACAAATGAAAAGGAGTTTCAATATGAGAAACCAGCCCCCACTCCAGGCTTTCCCTGTTGCTGTCTTGCAGGGCAGATTCCACCTCAGCCTGTTACACTTCAAATCCTGTGCCAGAGACCAAAATATAAAAACAAGGACTCTTCCCATCCCAAAGCTTGCTCCCTGCAGTCAGGCCCACATGGCCAGGCACTGGTGCTCACACAGGACCCTGCTCTCCTGACCAGCATTTTAAACCCAGACAAATTGTCAAAGCAGCACGGTGGATTTCAGGCTCTAGAGTCCAGCTGGCAAACAACTGCAGAAGCTCAATGACATTTGCTGTCATTTTCCTTCCCTTTTACAAAGCCCAAGGACAAATAGAGGATAAAGCCATGAAAATGCTGCTTTGTGTATTCTGCGTGACATGCAGGGTACAGAAATAGAACTGCCACACAGACAACCACACACAGCTCATATCTTGTTGTGTTTTACTTAAGTTGTATAAATACAGGCATTTCCATTCTCTGAAACTACAGCAGAAGGAAATGGCTTCAAGCAGCTAAATATGGAGAGCCACTTCTTGTTCCAGCTCTGCCACTGATGGGCTTTGGGATCAAGGAGAAGTCACTTCTCAACGCCTCCTCCTTCTCTCCTTTCCCTCCCACCTCCTTTGTGCAGGTTCCAACCTCTCCAAATCTGACAGCTGTCCTCAAAGCGGGGTCTCAAGCTGCTAGAGCTGAGCTGAACTCAAGTCACCTCCAGAAGAGCTGCAGATGTTCCCAGCTTCACTCCTCCTGCCTGCCCCCATAGCAGCAGCCCAGACATTCAGCTGAGAACCAGCCCAGCCCAGTCAAGCCATTTGAGCTTACTGGGAGAGCTGGGATCAGCTGAGGGTGGTGGGGAGGCTGGGGAGTGGTGCTTGATGTACACACCACCAACACATCCATGAGCCATCCCTGTACTGGGAAAGGCTCAGGTGCCTGCAAGGGCTCATGCAAGGAGCAGTGCTCCCTGCCAGTGATGCTGGAGACATTTCTCTGCAATTCCCTCCACACTCATCCCTGTAGGATTTACTTGACCATTTATATAAAATAGATAAAATTCTATTATATATATTATTATATAAAATTATATAAAATAGATATCAAGATATCATGTCTACATGACATTGGTGTGCCAGGATGCAGAATATTTTGTGTTAGGAATCAGCTGCTGAACTTGCCATACATTCAAAGCCATCCCATCAAATTCACTGTCCACCAATGCAATCTGGATTAGGGCTGAATAAGGTCCTTCTGGGAGCCAACAGGAAAAGCAAATACTATGTAGTGCCAAAGTATGAAAACACGTAGCATTACTGAAGCAAAAGCTGCTTTAGACAGCTACAAAAGGAAGCCCTGGAAAATAGTGAGCCAACAGAGGCAGGTTTTTGACTGTGGATCTTCCAACAGCATGCTCTGCTAAAGTAACATGGTAACCTAACTCAGATCAGAAGTGCAAATTTTAGGGTAAAAAAGACAGACAGACAGACAGAAAGTGAGCACAAGCACCCACACCAGGCAGTGCACACCATGAAGGAACAGATCCCTTACCTGAAAACCTTTGTCTTTGCCAAGTCAAACAAGGAGCTGGAATTGCCAAGGAAGAGGCAGAACTGTAATACAACAATGAGGCAAATCAGGGCTTTGGCAATTTTTGGGAGCCTTACCCTGGAGCAGCGCATGGTGAGGAACCTGTGAGTGGCAGAGGGCTCACAGGCACTGCCTCACCAAGGGGTGTGGAAGGATTGGGCTGAGTTTCCCTCTGGATTTCCCACAGTAAAGTGCACACCCTGTCTCCCAGCATTCCCAGTCACTGCACACAGATCCAGTTTCTCAGGAAGGCATCAGTTTTGTGCTGTTCCTATTTATCACCAGAAGCTTATTTCCAAAGAGCGGGGAAAGGAAAGCCTTTTACTGCACACAGTGGAAGTTTCTTGTGTTTTTCTTAATGACATTGTTCTGCCCTAAAAAAGAAACCTTTTATCTCTAACCTGGAAAAGGCATCACTGGGAATACATGCAAAGTGTGGAAGTGACCATAATTACAATCCAGGAAGCTTTCAGAGCACCACCTGCCCAAGGTTTTAGACAGGGCCATAAACAAATATTCTTTATGTAATAATTGCTTTCAGCCCCAGTCCAGAAGCAATCCTTGCCCCACAAATGCTGATGGCTAGATACACATCCATTTTACCCTGTGGTTGGGAGGCAACTCAACAAATCAAAGTACGACTTGGTGTAAACCCACCACAGAAAAGAGGAGTTTGTGTTATGAAAATCTCCAGTCAGTGTGAAATCAATCTTTGGCAGTCCAGGGTACATCACCCCACCAGCAGAGGGAAAGATTTGCACAGATGAGCACCACACCCAGATAAATGTTTACTTCTACCAGGGATGCAGGTTTACAATTATTTTAACTTTTTAAGCTGTTAAACATTAACCCTGACATTTCAAGGGGTGATAGCCATATTGCTTCTTATGCATAGGCTTCTTTTGCAAGCTCTTATAAAAAATGAAGCTCAGATATAAAAAAAGCTTTTGCTGACAGTATCTCAAATCTCAGAAGCACTCACAGTGTTACTGAATACCCAGAGAACTGAAGGTGCCTGTTTTATATCACAGCAAAGCCAGTCAACAGGTTTCACAACTACAAGACTTTTTTTGTTAACAGGGGTCCCAAAGGGAAATTCTGGAGGCAGGAATCATTTTCCTTCAATCTCCTCCATGTAACATTACTGCAAAAGCAAGAGCCACAAGGGATAGAAAAATTCCTACAAGCAGAAAAATACAGATTTCTTTGCTTTTAAGGATCTGCACTGGTGATTGTGGAGAATTTGTCTGTAGCACTGTCTGTTCAGGAGGTATTGTGATTGTACTTGGGGGAATATCCAAATCTCTGACAAGCACATTAGCCAAAAGCAGCCTTGCTATTTGCAAAACAGGGCTTTTCACCTTCTTGGTGTGAGAAAAGGAAATCTGAGCCCCCCTTGTCAGAGTACAGACTTTCACTTCCTTGGAGCAACATTTCCTCACCCCACTGCTGACATCAGTGTCAGAACTGAGGCACCAGGCTGGTTTGCTCAAACATGAGGTCAGAGTGGGAAATGGGGATGTACTGGAACTCTCCAGGGATGACCTGGTGAAAACTGAGGTCAAGAGCAGAGCTGGTCTCTTAAACAGCTCTGTAAGAACTGAGATTCTTGGGATACACAGGGCTCCCAGCCCATGGGCAGGAAAGTACAAAGCAAAGAGTGCAAATGCAGAGGGCCTGACCTGTCAAAGGCCACAGCATCCTTTTCCAAATGCATGTTTCTCTGCAGTCCTACCTGCAATCTCAGGAGATGCTGCTTCATTTATGGTGTGGAGACTCCAAGCCCAGCACTGCTGGTGTGTCCAGTCTCAGCATCAATGCCCACAGCAGAAGTTCTTCCATCCTTCAGTACTGTAAAAACAAGATGACTCTTTTATTTAAACAAACTCCACCTGGGATCATTGAGTGAAGATGATTTTCTGTCAGCCCTTCTGATCTCCAACATCCATTTAATTCCACGTGCACTTCACTCATCCTTAATTACATCCTGGACATATAAAAGGCACTTCACTAATCCTTAATTACATCCTGGACATATAAAAGGCAGATTTGTCTAGAGTGGTGTTTGGAGTTTTTTTATTGTTTTTTTTTTTTTTTAATTCATAAGCAAACTTGATTTGTCATTAAATCCTACACTGTGTGTGTTGAGGGTGTCAGCGGGCAAGCTGGCATTTGAACTGTGCCATAAACTTTTCTGTGTGCACGTTCTTCACTGGGCTGTGCACCAAATCTTGTTTGCTTGCCTGTGCCTTGTGTGCTTTCCACTCTCCCATGTCTCTGCTCCACAGAACAGAACATCACAAGATGTGCTCAGAAACAGAACTGGTCTACAGATCAATGAATCTTAGCTGCAGGATAAACTTGTCTTTCAGTGATGCCTACAACCTACCAAAACCAATGTTTGACTGGAAATCAATGGAATAAAGCTGCTAAAGAAGCTGGGGGTGTTTGGATATGTTCACAGTATTATTTGATGATGTAAGAACTGAGTTATAAGTGGGGGAGAAAAAGAATGACATTGTCTGTAGCATGCAGCTGCTCAGTGGTCATGCCTTGGGGCAAGCAAAGGCTTGGCAACCTTAGGTTCTTGTTTTTTCCCTCCCTGTTCAGCAGTCATCTTCAGAAACAAATGCATTCAGGCTGGGAATCTGGAGGGGAAGAAATTACAAGAGAAAACTTTGAACAGCTGTTTGTCTTGTTTTTACCAAATGAAACTGATAGCCCAGAAACTCCCAAGCTTGCCATAATTCCACACTCACTGGCCATTTTCCAGCCAGTTCCTTCCCTTCTGCACCAAACCTTCTCTCAAAAACTAAACAAGCAGCCAGAGACAACAGTGTTTGTTGAAGCAAAGCCCCCACATCTGATACAGTGGCACTTTCAAGAATGCCCAGAGTTCTTGGACATTCACAGAGCAAAGCCCCAGTGAAGTGTGCCAGGAGTGAGGGAGCAGCTTTGTGAGCCTGTTCTCTCCATGGGGTGAAATGCTCCAGGAGGGAAAGACACAGTGGTTTTGATGGTGGAATGAGCAAGTGACTGCTCAGTGCCCACAGAGATTGCAAACCCTGTCAGCTTTTCATTAGTGTTGATTTGTGTGCTTGGTGTCCAGCCCAGCCAGCTCAGGCCCCTATAAAGAAACTGCCTTGGATCTGTGGAGGGCCAGTAGATGACATGGGTCCAAACCAGATTATTTCCCCCTCTCCCAGTTGGTAATGGGACCAGGGGGAGAGTCCTCCAGCAGTGCCCACACCCATGGAATGTCTTTGACTGGAGCAATCACTGGGAGGTGAGGGCAAAGTGCTCTGAATCTGACCCTGTTACAGGCTCTGGATGCTGGGACCTGTTTCAGATCCTCCTGTAAGCATAGTGAGGGCTTGGCTTTGAGTTGTTCCCTCTGGCCACAGCTCTGGGTGATAATAAATCTCCCTGAACAGAGAGGAGCAGACCAAATCTGCCATCACACAGCCTTTTCTGCTCCTCGAGCTCTTCACATTCACCCCATCCCACTGAAATGCTCTGCTCCCAGCTTTCCTTCCTCAGCCACACAATGCTGAGAACACTCATGAGCCTCTTCATTTGTGAGAATTTTAAAAAAACACAGAAAAATACACTCCCAGCAACAATGGCTGGAAACATCATCTGGAGTTACACAGGCTGGAAAGAAGCAGGGATCCTTTATCCAAATGCCTCCCTGAGCAGCCTTTTGTCTGTGCCACCCCAGCAGGAAGCCTAGCACATCACCCCGGAGCTGACAGACAGAGAGACAGACTGACACCACTTCTGGGCTAAGATGTGGAATTTCCCCCCGCCCCTTTTAAAATTTGTTTGATGGAAATGAAGAAAAAAGTTCTGTTCCTTGACTGGGAATCTCTCACAGAGCTGGTCCTCCAAGGAGCGGGGCAGCACTGCAGACAGGTGAAGAGGTAATTTATGAAACTCGTGGCTAGTTGGCCTCCCATCAGAAAAGCAGCTTCTCCAGCTCCTGTCCCTGACAGCTGCCAGGAATAGGAGCATTCAAGGACTCTCCACTGCTCCAGAGAAAGAAACACAAGAATCACAAAGCCCAAATTCCTCTCCATACCCCTGGCAAAAAAAAAATTGCAGGCATATTATCTCAGCACGTCACATCTGGCAGCAAAACTCAGGCCCTGCAGAGAAATGAATTACAGAATCACATCTCCGTGGGGATCCACTAATTTTAGGGCCAGAAGTGAAATATTTCTTGGTAAAGGACTTTCCCATACTCTTCCCACTGCCTTAACATCAGAAACCATTGCTCTTGACATCTCTGGCAGGACAAATGTGCCATTTGGCATCCTTTGGGCTGAAAAGTGCTGCAGGGAATGCAAGACATAAGCCTGCTTCTTGAGTGGTATAAATCATCCTGTTCTGTCTTACACTTGGGAAAATGTGGCCTCATAGTGCTTTCCTCTCTGCTCCTGACTGACTGGAGAGTGAAATCAGAGAAGATCAGAGAAGTGCAGTCCCATTTTTAGCTGCAGGAGTGGGACAACCACAGGGTCCTGTGAGGAGCTGCTGAAAATCAGATGCTTCTCTTCCTTTCTCTCCTTTTTGTGTATTGTCTCCTCTGTAACAGTTCTTCTCCTGCTTTATTTAGATACATACCTGGTGTTACTTCTCTTCATCCTTCTGTTAACTTGACAGAGCCTTTTGTTAGCCAAGGAGAAAAGGGAAACCTTTGCCATGGCAGATACACAGCACCTACCAAGCTCCTACTTGGAAATGCCCAGGCAAAGGGATTGCCGGGCAGGAGAGCAGCGCTATGGAAGGGCCACACATTCTCTCCTGATTCCTTGGAGCTCTTTAGTATCTGTTCCATCCAGGTTTGTCACAGAGATTCCAGGAAGGACCCTTCTGTGGCAGCCAGAGCCAAGAGGATGAGCCAGACTGTTTCACTGATGATGTGCAGTGACATTCATCATCTCCTCCATGAGCTGTGCTTCCAAAACCTGCCACAGAGAAGTCTGCAGGACACACTGAGTGGGGTTTTTCACAGCTCTGCAGCTTGCACCTCAAGCCTTGGGTCTCCATTTGCAGTTACCAACTGAGAATGATCAGGCCTACAACAGAAACTGTGTTGTTTACACACTATGGCAAAAGTGGGTGCTGTCCAGCCCTTGTGTTAATCTCCAAAATTACCAACCCCATGCTTCCAAGCAGAGGTCAGCTGGGTCCTGTCTATCCTTCAGTTCCCTCCCTCTCCCTAAGCAATCTCCACCACTGCATCAGACTCTGCTGATCCCCTTTGCTCCACCCCACATGGAAGCTTGCTCAGTATCTAAGTTCATATTCACCCCCTGGTATTGTAACCATAAGTAAAAACAAGCTCAGTTAACTAAAATAACATCTTAAATGCATAAAACAACCAAGAGCAAGAAGACACATTGCTCTGTGTTAAAATGAGAATTATGAAAAGTTATTTTGCTGGTTGTTTAACTGTGTATGCTGTCTGTGAAACCATATGGTAAAGTGCTCTGAGAATCACTGAGAAATAACAAGCCCTTGGGTTGACAAGCTTTGTGTAATCTACCCTAAAGCATTTGCAAATTACCTTACTGTGGGTCCTTCAGCTGATGTTGAAAGGCAATCCTGGCTAGCAGGAGGATGAGGAGCCATCCTACAGCATCCCAGACAGATCTCTGAAATAAATAGAAAGGAGACAAAGCAGTAAAGGCAGTTAATCACATCAGAATTTAACCAGCATGGTGCCAACAGTTCTGTTTTGCCCAAAACTACACGAATATCTTTTTGTTTTCAGCTTTATCTGTCAGCTTTTATCTTCCATGGCTCCACCACAACATCCTTGGAGCCCTGATGGCTGAAGCCCCC